TGATACAACAATCCAGATAATTCTGGGTTGGCTGCAAAAAAAAATATTTAAAAGCTTCATTCAAGGCTTCAAATAGTAAAACTCACAAGCTGATGTATAAAAATGGCCTTACACCTAATATTCATACCTTTTTTCCTTCTCTGGCAGGGTAACCTACTGTTGACAGGAGACAAAGACCAACTGGTCATGCTGCTGGACCAGATCAACACTCCCTTTGTGCGTTCCAATCCCAGTGTGCTGCAGGGCCTGCTCAGGATCATCCCATACCTGTCCTTTGGAGAACTGGAAAAGATGCACATCCTAGTGGAACGTTTCAAGCCCTGCTGCAACTTTGACAAGTAAGAGCCTGCTTTCAACCATCAAGGATTCCAAGTCAAAGTGCTTTTTTAGTCATGTATAGTTTTCATAGGCGAAACAGTTTTAAGCTGCTTGTTGTTCTAAACATACCACAGGGGCAAGAGTTCCCACTGATCCTGCATGATTGATTACCACTAAGCCTGTCCCAGGCATGTCTTGTAATCATCACTGTTTTTTTTAAGCACCTTGTGATTGGGCTTTCTTCAGGTATGATGAGGAGCACAGCGCAGACGACAAGGTCTTCATTGACTGCTTCTGTAAGATTGCCGCTGGAATCAAAAACAACAGCAATGGCCACCAGCTGAAGGACCTGATCCTTCAGAAGGGAATCACTCAGAATGCACTGGACTACATGAAGAAGCATATCCCCAGCGCCAAAAAGTATGCATCAGAGAAATGCTTTAATGAATCCAACAAGCATGTTTGTAACTTGCAACAAGTCATCCTTAGCAAGACTTGGTTCCTTTTCTGATCTGCATTTTGCCTTTAGTTAGAAGCCAGTCACTCTATTCAGATGTGACCTTCTGGAGTCCTGCCCTGAAATCCTTGTCTTGTTTCAGTCTTGATGCTGATGTGTGGAAGAAGTTCCTCTCCCGTCCAGCGCTGCCTTTCATCCTGAGGCTGCTCCGCGGACTGGCCACCCAGCACCCCCCAACTCAGGTACAGCACTGTGGGCAGGGCCAGAGGAGCCACACTAAAGCTACAACATATTTTTCCTACTGCTGAAATAAGGCTTAAAGGACACGTAGGGTTGTGAACCTCCAACTGAATGATCAGCCTGGCTACTACTGATTTAGCTCATTCTGCACAGCAACATAAGTGAAAGCTGTTGATAATTTCTCATTTCAGCAGTAAAGAATTTGAGAGAACTCTTATGTCGGTGATCTTCCTAGAAACAGGCATGAATTATCAGTTTCCTTTAAAAGCATCTTGCGATAAATATGCTTTTGATCATTCTGGGAATGGATGTTTTCAAGTGTGAAGTTGATGCGTCTTAAAGATTCCTAAATCTCTCAGAGCTATGGGAACCAGAGTGCTGCCGTGTAGTGGTGGTCTTTTATCTCGTTTCCTCACCGTGTTCGTTTCTGCCCAGGTGTTAATCGGGACGGACTCCATCAGCAACCTGCACAAGCTGGAGCAGGTGTCGAGCGACGAGGGCATCGGCACGCTGGCCGAGAACCTGCTGGAGGCCCTGCGGGAGCACGCCGACGTCAACCTGAAGATCGACGCGGCGCGCCGGGAGACGCGGGCCGAGAAGAAGAGGATGGCCATGGCCATGAGGCAGAAAGCCCTGGGCACTCTGGGAATGACGGTGCGTGCCCTTTCCAGTGGCGCGAGAGAGAATGGCTTCTAGCCTCCTGGGTTTTATTGAACAGCTAGATGGAGTTGTGTAATGGTACTGAGCAAGGAGGGTGACATGCGCAATCTTCCAGTTCTATCCTCTGCAGGATTTGGGGAAAGTTCATTGTTTGATTAGCAGTTAATCGTTATACAATTAAGGTATTCGTTACACCAAACGTGGGCTTGATTTGGACAGGCGTATTCAGTGTTTAAGCTACTTTTAAGATTTAGATCTTTCTCTTCTGGATTACATGTCCGAAATTGCTGCATAACCTGATTCTTGACCATTGGGAATTTATTTTGAGTGTAACATCCCCTAGGCATGATCTGCTTGTAGTAAGACCACCGAAGAGTGTGCGCCCTTGTGTTTCAGACCAATGAGAAGGGCCAGGTTGTGACGAAGACTTCCTTACTGAAGCAGATGGAGGAGCTGATCGAAGAGCCAGGGTTGACATGCTGCATCTGCAGGGAAGGCTACAAGTTCCAGGTGTGTCTTCAGTGCGGGAAGAAGAGGGGAAACGGTTTCATTTTTATTTGGAATGTTTCCAATTGTTTTCACATGCTTCCAGATGTCGCATTGGTGCGTGGTATATGCCATTTCCCCAAGTTTAGCTGCTGATGCTGTCATTTCTTTCTCTCCACAGCCCACAAAGGTCCTGGGTATTTACACCTTCACTAAGCGCCTGTCGCTGGAGGAGTTTGAGAACAAGCCCCGCAAGCAGCAGGGCTACAGCACTGTCTCGCACTTTAACATCGTCCACTACGACTGCCACTTAGCTGCTGTCAGGTACTGGGGAACGTCGCCAAGTCCTCTGCTTCAGCCCTTCAGCTGAACGGCTGTCCATTTTCTGTCAGGAGCAAAACCACCAGCTGTCACAAAAATGTACTAGTTTAGATTTCTGTAACTAAAACACTAAAGAAGTGTCTTATTCATGTTATAGTGGTTGAGATTGACATTTCCCAGTCGCAGCACAAATTCTCAGGGATTTGATGTTTTTCTGGAGTATGCCAGTGACTGAATTCTTTACTTTCCTAATGCTCAGTGATGACTTTGGTCTTTCAAGTGTGATTCTCATCAAGCATGATTTTGTTACGCGTTCTTTGTACATTAATAAAAGAAATCAGTGTAATGGCAGGTCATGTTTCTCTTGCTGTGCTTGTTCTTTTCCCTGGAGAAGCTGGGAGGTTTGATCTCGGAATTGAGCCTCTCCCTCCTGTTTTGCAGGCTGGCGCGTGGGCGTGAGGAATGGGAGAGCGCCGCCCTGCAGAACGCCAACACCAAATGCAATGGCCTGTTGCCGGTGTGGGGGCCTCATGTGCCCGAGTCCGCCTTCGCCACCTGCCTGGCAAGGTCAGCTGAGCTCAGTCTCGCCGCTCCTCAGTCCTGCACGACAACCGTCGAAAACGGTTTTAAAACCTTAAAAAATCCGGAGAATAGTTACTGAGTTATCAAGGCAGATTGAGATTACTTGAGTCTTTCTAAATGACTCTTAAGTGCTTTTTTTTTTATTTTAAGATGACCAAGGTGTTCTCTCAGTGCTAATACAAGCTGGGGTCTGCAAACTGTGCCAGAACTAGAAAACGAAACTAGAAAGTTTAACATTTACAGAGTCGTGTTGTCGAGGCCTGTACTCCAGGCTGTTTAAACTTTCAGCTTCAGATGACAGTAGAACTACTTTCTACACAGAATAGTGAGTCTTGGAGTTTTCTTGACAAAAAGCAGAAGTTGCCAGTGCTCATACCCCGAGTATTTCTCTGTCCTCCCCGTCTGCCCACAGGCACAACACGTACCTGCAGGAGTGCACCGGGCAGCGAGAGCCCACCTACCAGCTCAACATCCACGACACCAAGCTCCTGTTCCTGCGCTTCGCCATGGAGCAGTCCTTTAGCGTGGACACGGGCGGGGGCGGCCGCGAGAGCAACATCCACCTCATCCCCTACATCATCCACACCGTGCTCTACGTCCTCAACACGTAGGTGCCCGGCCTGTCGCTGTGAAAGACGCAGTCTGGCCACGCTGTCTGCCGGATCTCAAGTCTCCGCAGTGAGCTTCGGTCTTGGTTTTTGTGTGCCCTCTTGTGGAGGGCAGGCACACACACACCACTAATCCTCAAGGGCTGAAGGGTCTGCTGGATTTCATTCCACTCTTGATCTTAATTATCAAATTGAGTTTACTTTTGGTCTTAATCAGGTATGAATTAAAAATGTACCTATTAAGCCCACAGGGCTCCGGTGCTTGAAGGTTGGAGCTCTCCACTGCTGGTCCCAGATTAACCCCTGACCCACAAGGTTTAGCTTGGACAAGCATTCAAACCCAGATCCTTTAGGAGAACCCCTGATCGGAATTGCTTTGGGGAACCGAGCTTGATAAACCTTGCAATGTCAAACAAGCTTCATGGAATTGGAGATGGGAACTAGTTTGAAGGGTGGTTCTAGTCTGTCATTGATAACTGGGAGCGGGACTAGCCCTGCCCCAGGGGTACGCCCCTGGAAACGGGGTGTCTGATGGCCGTGTTGCCGTGGCAGGACGCGAGCCACGTCGCGGGAGGAGAAGAACCTGCAGAGCTTCCTGGAGCAGCCGCGGGAGAAGTGGGTGGAGAGCGCGTACGAGGTGGACGGGCCGCACTACCACACCGTGCTGGCGCTGCACGTCCTGCCGCCCGAGCGCTGGAGGGCCAGCCGCGTGGAGGTGCTGCGCCGCCTGCTCGTCGCCGCGCACGCCCGCAAGGTCTCCCCGGGGGGCGCCACCAAGTAAGTCCCGTCCTTTGCTGTGGAACATGGGAAGAAAAAGACCAGCGTTGTGTGTACTATGACAGGGGAAGCACCTCGGCGCTGCTCCTGTATAATGCTGCAGGACGACGCGTCGCCTCCTCTTGTGTGGTGTGGTCGGAACTCCGCTGGGTGTGATGGCGGGCTCAGGGCTGCCCTCTCTGGGGAAGTTACATGGGTTTACTCCCACCTCCCAACATGCACGGCAGGCTTCCTCAGCTGCTCTAGTGGTCATTTGCCCCGGGGCGGGCGTGACCCCAGTGGCAGAGCAAACGGCATGATGTGCCATCTCCCAGTCACATCTGGAAGACTGCACTGCTGGCTCTGCCATCTGTGAGACTAGAGGGGCTGCGTTGCTCCAGAAATGTCCTTAACATACAGGACACTCTGAAATAAGCTCAGGAGGATGACATGTTGTAATATGCTCTCAGGAAATGTCATCTAATCTTAAAGTAGGACACTGCTTTTATTGTTCTCTATGCACTTTTTTTAAAAATGTATACCTTTTTAACTAATTTTGGTGCTATAGATTATTAGCTGTCCGTTTAAACCCATTCAAGTGCACATGTAAGAGAATCATTTGCATTTTAGCACTTTAATTATACAATTTGTCAGTTTGTATTTAAAGAGGAATGATTAAATGTCATTTTTAGTGCGATCTGCCTTTAGCTCATTTTTGTCAAAAGATTAATAGGCTATTCTAAAAACATGGCTTCCTTCTATATCCTCCTGTAAGCAAGCTATGACTTCAAGTCAGTAAATCATCATCTTCTGTACATGAACCACCCCGCAGCATAAATTGTTATCCAGACATCTTGCAGTGCACTCTCTACGGCCTCTTCTGTCTTGGTCCTAGTGTCTGATTGTTAAACATTTCTGAGACAAGTTTTCTTCTCAAGCAACTGGCTTATCCAAAACCCAACAATTCAAGAAATCTAAAGGTTCTACTCTGTTACTCACAGCAATTAATCGTGGAAGTATTTAACTTGAAGGAAAATTCTTTTTTAAGCCATGGCACAAAAAGCAGTATATGCAAGTATGCTAAGTTATAAAATACAAATATTTCACTGCATTGCAAACACAAATCAGAGTGATGCACTGTAAACGAGTAATTTTTCTAAATCGTTTATTAATTGGTGATCTCCAGAACTTGCTTGCATTAAAAAATTGCAGAGGTCCATTGTGCAGTACACCCTGGTGGACCACAAAGCTTGAATATTTTATTTTCAATTTAGTACCTGTTAAAATCAAAGACTGTGGTTTCCCTTCTGAAATTGATTATTTCTGAAAAGATATATTGTTCCAATATCTTTGTTCAACTTGCAACTTCCATTCATCTGCAGAGATTGCAAGGTGGCTGTTAAACGTGTCAAAAGTCTCCTGTTCACATGAGACTCCAGCTGCTTGGCTGAAAAAGGGCGAAACCACAATGAAAACGTTCATTGGAAATATGATCGTTTCACCTGCTGGGTGGTTGTTATAATAGCTTTAAAAAAAAAAATTCCCTGTGGAAGCAACATGTCCCCATATGACTTTTCTTTTGTGACGGTTTGTTTTTCCTTACTCTGATTTCCTTACTCTGCTTTGAAGAGCAGTTGGTGGATCAGTTTTTCTTTGTTAGGATTTTTGTGGAGATATCAAAGTTTGTACATTGCAAGCTCTTCAGTTCTGCAGCCTGCAATTTTCACGATCTGATCTGAACTCAGCTATTTTTGTAAGATCAATGAAAGATTTGATAGACTGAACTGTACCCTACCTGTTACTATTGTCTTGTGATCTTGATCTGTGTTAAATGTTTTGCTTAAGATCATTCCGAAGAGACCAACTTCACCAGTGTTTTTTTAATCAATAAAGCTTTTAGGTTTCCATTAATGCAGGACTAAACTAATCTATAATCTGTGCACAGCAGCTGCCTGATTTCTCTTTGTTGTATTGTTTTTAATGGATCTCTGCTTTTTCACTGCTGTTAAAATGTGCAAGAACATAAGATCAATGGACTTAACGGGTGAACCTTTCTAGGGGATTCAGTTTTTTCCTCCTGTAGATTTCTCTGGCAATGCAGACCCATTCTGACGTGGTGAGAAATAAACTGCAGTAGTTTATATGTCCATAATGACCCTCTTCTCTATTGCTTTCCAGACAGTAAATACTCTTTCCCACAGTCCATTCAGGTTTTTCCTTGTGACAGTTCGCCAAATAGGTTTAGCATCACATAACTAAAACACATCCACTAATAGCCCTGAAACAAGAAAGCCTGTGGATCTCAAGAGCTTCTCAGATTTCTGGTTTAAAGAGCTAGAAGATGCAAAGAAGACTTACAGAATGGGCATTTTCGCTGCTTGCTTTTGGCCAGCCTTGTGTGGAAGAATAGTTTTAAGTGCCTAGGACAGGCAGCAGCTTTGTCATAGCTTCACCAGCTAGAGACTACATTATTCTTGAATAATAAATGAGGCATTGACATTAATGAAAGCAGAGAGCTTTCTTCCTCCCCTGACAGATCTGAGGGGTAAGGCAGTGGTTATCTTTTCATCTATAGGTCCTAAATAAATCTGGAGGTCATAACCTTTGCCTGTTACTGCAGAGGGATTTCATTTTCAGGTGTATATTTCAGACGTCTTGGCATGAAATTGTCTGGATTTAGGGAGCCTTTTTTTACAGCCATTGACAATGTCAGATATGCAGCAAAATTAACAGGTTACAGGTTGGCTGATAATATAATAATATATTTGAAAATATATCGTAAACCCTGCACTGTGAAGTAGTGAAATCTGGTACGCACACAAATGGAACAGTACATAGGGGTACTAGAGATTTTACACTGTTAGAATGGCCTGAGTGTACTGTTGTCCATTAACTGTTGTCCTGCGGTGTCATTTGTATGCATACTAAAATTCTTTGTTCCTCAGTGCATAGCATTGACTGTACACATTTTTGCATATGATAGCTTGCTTTATAAACCTGTCTTTTCTTCATTGCTTAAATACATGTCCTGCAGTGGGGATACATATTTAACTGACAGGTCAGTAGTACAATGCCTCTGTGACAGAGTCAATACAAGATCCAGCCCTTCTTTGATAAAGCAAGAATTTTTAACATGTTTGTTGCTGAAGAAAACCCTGATCATACCCTGATGTTAGTGCTCATCCGGATTCAGTGGGTATTTCTTGTGCGTGGGGACTTAAACAGACTTCACGTTGTACACTGCAGACAGAATCACGGCGCTGTAAACCTTGATTCACGTGCTGAAGTGAAACTGGTACCCACCCACAAAGCAGGTACAACGTGCCACTTATGATACAGTTACAAAAATAATTAAGATAATTACATGCTACAATAAAACAAGTATTTTGTATCAAGTCCAAAATTCCACCTTAAGCCCTTCCCTTTCAGTAAAAGTTACATAATGTTAGGACCTCACCTCAGGCACGGGTGTGTACTGTATTTACAGTAGACAACGGCCAACTTCTTTTGAGATAGATGTCTTGCATTGTTGTTGAGCTGTTATAGATAATCAACAGAGTGCACTGAAGAGCTAAAGAGGTCAATCCCAGCTAAACTGAAAAGAGTGGAGTTTAGTATTCTGTCTCAGGTTGTATTTCTGTATGATGAGCAACACATATGGTGCATCAGTCACTGACTTGTGACATCTATAGAAACCTGTTAAGAAACTGATCTTTTGGCCAGCATTGTATATGCTGACATCATGGAAGAATTGTTGTTTAAACCTTTTACTTCTCGATGTTCTCCATGCCAATTTTAAACACTGAAATGAGAGAATGCGGATATAACGGGGTTTTGTGTAAAGTCTACGAACAGCCATCAGACTTTGAAACTTCAGTGTAAGACTGTGGCCTCGCACCGAGGACATTTTTTTTATTTCCTGTGGAAGAGTTTTCTAGAAAGCTGTAGGTGGAACTAAAGACTGAGTGAGGTTGTGGTCTGTCGAACGGAGAGTGCGTTTTTGCGCCAGGGGTTTGACTGAGCCATGCGCTGTGATGTCTTTCAGACTGACAGACAAAGCTGTGAAGGAGTACGCAGTGTACCGCTCTCCTCTTCTCTTCTGGGGCCTGGTGGACCTCATTTACGATATGTTTAAGGTAAGGAGGGACCTTTTCATAGAAACCCTGTGGGCGAAGAAATTGCCCTACTGGTTCTCTCATAATGCCTAGTGTCCGATGTGATCTGCTGTTTATGAGTTAACTTTAGCACAAGAAAGAGACGGTCAGCAGTGACCTAGCGACAGAATTGTTTACGATGAAAGTGGAAGCTGTAATTCCTCTTTGCCGTCATGACGATCTGCTGCCAAAGGCAGTCGACCTCTTTTGATTGACATGCGTTTCCCTGCAATTGTCTCTCCTTGTGTATGAAGTAATGCTGAGGAATGTCTTTCAACTCCCAGCTTTGGTCAAAATCTTTTTTTTTAAAATATGTACAGTAAAGCTTCCAGGAAGAAAAAAAACTTGGAAATGAGATTGGAACTGTGTAAACAATCTTTTTAAGCAGTTTATCCCTTTGCATTTCTTCGTTTAAATTAAATAGGTCTATCACATGGTACTGAAAAATAATATGGTTTTATTATGTGATAGCAATGATTCCGGTGAAGGCTTATATTTAACAATATCACATCTGTAGTCTTAACTATTCTAACAAAGCTTTTTCACTACAGTAATCAAGAGCGCTCTTCTCAAACAAACGTGCCCAAACAGCTCAGAGATTCACTGATAATTCAATGTCAAAGGTTTGACTTTGCAGCTACATCTTTTAATAGGGGATTTGCCATTAGGAGCTTTACTGTCAAGTAGGGTTCATTGTTTTGTTTGTTTTTTTAGGTATCTTAAGCAGCTTTCATGCTGAGCAATTGTTTTTTTAGAAAACATTTTAAGCATTTTTAAGTTGTTTTTTACAGACTGTCACAAGCAGCAGGCATCACGCCTTGTTTTGTGACACAATTTAAACACGCATGGTGTCAGTTCCATAACAGAGCAGTTAATGCACAGAACTGCTTTATAATCAGTTTTCCCCCAACTGGAGTTCAGTTTCCTCCTTAGTCTGACACTGCAGCTGAAGAGGGATTCTCCAGACAGGTTTCACGATAGCTTTGAATTGTCTACTGATGCCAGGAGCTGGGCACAGTGTTAATTTCTTCCAGGTAAGGCTGGTCTTTGTGAATGAAGGCAGGGAACTCCTGGGGTGCCAGTGGGCACACCAGGTAAGCTGTGGCAAAGTCAATCCATTGTCATGGCATTGCTCAGCTGGCTATTCGAGAAGAACACTGCTCTTGCCAGTGTCTGACCCTACATAAATACAGAATTCCTGCCCTGACATTACTGCCTTTGTTCTTCAACAGAAAGTGCCCACCAGCAATACAGAGGGAGGCTGGTCCTTCTCCCTGGCAGAGTATGTGCGGCACAACGACATGCCCATCTATGAGGCCTCAGAAAAGGTGCTGCGCACCTTTCAGGAAGAGCTCATGCCCGCGGAGTCCTTCTCTGAATTCCTGGATGTTGTAGGTCAGTAACAGACAACTGTGGTGTTCGTGAAGTAGCAGAAGGCTTTAGCAATCAGGACTGCCTGACGTTTTTATAAGTAGACAATTTTGTCTGTGATGAGACACGATTAAGGTAGATCTATATAAGTGAGGGAATTGCAAGAATTGCAAGATCTATTTCATATCTGATTCTTATTAAGAAATATCTTCCTCCCAATGTTGATACTAACTGGTTTCTCTTGACTGAAAATATCCTTATAATTTGGAACAATGATCTACAAAGTCCATTTTGGTGGCAGCCAAACTAATATCATAAAGGGAACCATCAGCTTTTACTTTGTTTAGGATAATGCTCGGTACACATCTGGATTATGTGTTCCTAACAGCAATGCACTGTAGCTGTCACATAGATCTTTTGTAAGAGGCAGCTGCCGACACCATCTTAAAAATGACTTAATCCCCGTTTTGCCAGGACTGCTGTCTGAAATCCCAGACCCTGATGGCTTCCTGCAGGACCTTCTCAACTCTGTGCCCTGAGTGTGTGATTCCACAGAAGAACCCTGCCACACTGGACCTCTGACTTCTCTGCGCTGGTGTCTGGTCACCAGGGCTCTGCGGCAGGCACCTCCCAGGGTACCCCTGAGTTTTGGGGCTGACCTCTCTTTCAGCACACACAACCTCCATTGCGCAAGACTTTCATTTCAGCAGCCTTCAGTTTTGTTTTGTTTTTTCAGAATTCTCTTGAAACGTAACTCTTAAAACAAGAAAGCCTTAAGAGTTTATGCATTCAGAACCGTAAAGGTTCATGTAACAACACACAAATCAAAGATTCACCCCCATGTTGACTGATCCAACATTGCGGGTCACTAGCAAATGTGGACCCACAAATTTAGTCTAATTTGATCAGTGCATAGACGTTTTCATTTAAAGAATATAAATAAAGCTCTGAGAAGCTGGAGAAAAGGTTTCCTTTGAAATCACAGGACCCTGATCTCTGTCCTGTGTCCTTCAATTTTTTCCTTGGTTTTTACAGTGGTGTCATTGGACTCGACTCTGACTTGTTAAAATTCTGTTTTTTATGTTTAAAAAGCAGCATGCGTGTGTAGGTGTTTCTTATTTACAAAAAAAAGGAGAGAAAAACAAAAACAGACAAAAAATGGTTTGTTTTTAAAATTTAACAATATATTACCCAGTTTTAGTGAAATGACATGTTTTGACGTGCCCTACAATTTCTATTGCTGGTGCTGTAGCACTGTCCTGAAGAAGGAAATTAAGAAATGGCCTGTTCTCTGTTTAAAAGGAGTTCTTTTTTTTGTGGGGGAGTAGTTATTTGGTTTGGTTTCAATTTAGGCTCTGATCTCCCCTCTCCAGCCCAGAGCTCCACCCAGTTTTTGTTCCCTCTGCAAATTGTCTTGAGTTCAGAATATAAAAATATCCAATGGAAGACTCAAGCTGATATTTTATTAATGTTTTTGCAAGTATGGTGCCACTGAGTACATTCTCAGTGATAAGGGAATTCTATACAAGAAAAGTATACATATATGCAAATTTTCAAAGGGCACCGTTGTACTCAAAGCTGAATGCATGGTGTAAGGTTTGCTTCACACCTCATAGTGTTTTTTTTTTTGCCTGTTCCTGCTGCGATAATGTGCAACTGTTGCTGGATGTTTGCTTTTTGGATTAGCTAAAAATTAATAAAGCTCTAATAACTGAGTGTCTGGCCAAATTTATTTGTGTATATTAGCCTGTTGTAATATCTCTCATCTCCCTCGTTCGTGAGCAGGTTTAGTCTGATTCATTTTCTTTCAGGCTAAAATGTGGTTGGGTGTTCCAGGAAAAGATGTGAATCTTTCACTTTTAACTCTCAGCTGTTCTAAGGATTTTTTTTAAATAGTCACAAAATAAAAAGAAAGCTGTTAAAATGCCTGGATTTGCTCAATTTGGCAGGAAATTCTGTAGTTAGAAGCAGCAAAGAGCTGGAAATTGTCAGGAGAACCAAAACAGACGGCACATCATTTTAAAGCTAATATGAGCTTTGATTGCAGCAAGTGCTCTCCTATGTGAGGGATTTGTCCTACAAGTGATTTCAGATGAGCTTCTTACTAAAGCCCTGCTCAAAAATGACCTTAATTATTATTTCCTCCTTGATTACAGATTTACTGATGGATACTTAAGCTTTTGCCTTGACTTTTCATATTTGTCCAGGATCGCCAAATTCAGATTTGCACATTTTAATACCGAATAACAGCATTGAAATCTATTCAAAATGTAATTGTAAATATTCAGAAAAATATCTATGTGCAATAGCCGTTCTGCTGATTTTCAAGTTTCAAGTTTTGATCATTTTAAAGCACAGTAAAAATCAGTCATGCTTTTTTTTTAACAAGGCAGATTGAAGTTGGCATGCTTAATAAACTTGTAGAATTTTTCACAAATGTACTGTATAAATCTACTGAGTAGCGTTAAAATGGAACACATACATATTGGAAGCAGTGGCATGTTCCTTTCATATTGCCTCTCAGTTTTAAAATCAATGCCATAGGTGAGTAAACAGCTGCACTGGGATATAAGAAGCCATAAGGAAATATACAAGGGCTGCAGGTTTACTTAGTGTGTTGGTAAACCAGCTTCAGTTGCAGTTATGAAGTACTAGAGGTATGGGGAAATGAAATTAATTTCAGCCATCAGATAGTTAATAAAGAGGCTGGCTAGGAGGACCTATTCAAATCTCACTTGACCTCCTGTTTAGAGCTCAGACTGCATTGAACCATTTTTATAAATTCTAGAGAATGTGACCCTAAAACCACTCTTCTGGGATTAGGATTTTCATTATTGTGGGATTTAGTGAAACGCATCAATTAATTGAGGGGCCAAATACCCATCCCAGTTCAGATTCCTTAGTTTCTCAGTCTTGCAGAATGTTCTGATAATCTGTATAAGAATCAGCACAATTCTCCACAGGTACTGTACGAGTCCTTTTGAAAACAAATTTAATGGCATTAAAACCATATCTTTTTTCCCCCATCTAAACCTTATCTTATTTAAACCAAAGCACCTATGACTAAATACAGTATGAGTTGAGCAAACAACTGGCAGTCTTGATTCAGTTGTGGAATTCAGTCTGAAAGGACCCAGGTTCTTCACTTCTTTTCTTGGTAAATAAAGGTGTCTTTAAAGGTGGAGGAAAAAACAAGTCTTGGATTACCCAATTTCTAGGGAATGTTTTTAATTGCTCTCTGTTAAAAAGAGTTGGCACAAAACTCTTCATAAAAAGAGCCCAAGGTGTCGACCGATGGCAGGTTATTATACACATTGAGGGATTTAAAATGCCAGTTAATGTTTCAGAACACTTGATTAGTGTTTAACTGTTCTTTGGCACCAGTATTCTCACGTTAAACAATTATCTTTGTTTTTATTGACATGACAGATGACAGCACTGATTCCTGCAACTCTCCTGTCTGTTAGTGTAACAGCCTGAGGGTGTTAAACATTGTAAGAGCAGCTCTGCCAAATGTAGGCTTCTCTATGCATTTTGATATTCATATAAAGCTGGTTAAATAGTTTTCTGGCAAGACTTACCCAGTATTGGCAAGATTGCATTTTTGCATAAAAACAAATATTTGGCATTTTCTGTTTGATCACAGTGGCAGAGGGGTGAGTGTGGAGCTAGGTTACTATCGGTGTTGTGTTTGTGTGTTCTTCCCTCATGTTTATGGCCTCAAAGGACCTCAGTTCTTTACTTCTTTTCTTGATTAATAAAATCGTCTTTCAAAGTGGGGGGAAAAACATCATCCTCCCAGTCCAAAAACCAAGTGGTAGGTTAATTGGCTGCTGGTGTGAGGGTGTGCGCGTCTCTCTGTGTGCCCTGCCTTGCACCCATTGATGGCTGGAATAGCTCCCTCACGCCCCTGAATTGGAAGAAGCGGTATGAAAAAGATGGATGCATGATCACAAACTGAGCCGGCTACTGGAAATACAATTGCGTAAGTGTTTTTATGGGATTGGGTTGGATTTTGATACTTGTTTTATGGTGAGTTTGCCTACAAGAGCAAAATGGAGAACCGATGCATTTGTAAAGCCCAAGTGTTGGTGAGAATTCCAAATGGGGAAAAAAGAAACCATTCCATTAATCTCTTATGGAACAGCAGGGCTATCTTCTGGCTTTGTGTAAATGTTCTTAAAGACCAGTTGAGCATTGGCACCAACGTACAGGTCTAACCAGCTTGCAGTCTGCTTGTTAGCTTTCAGAGATCCATTTGCAAGCTTTATAGTAGACGTCCAATGTGTTTGTTTATCTGAATGTCTTCACAGTAGCCCTCAGAAGCGCATTCTGATCAAATCACAAGCACTTATCTGGAGATCAAGAGGAGGAGTAGTGAGAAATAGCCAGGACTAGAACTCAAGCCTCTTTTGGCAAAGGTCAACAGTCTTGCCCCTCTGTGAAAAGGAATGTAACCTTAGATTGCTCACATTCTTCTGTAAAAAGGAATGTGGCCAAGGCTATCAAGCCTGGTAACCTTGTTGCCCTTAAAAAATTCTGTTTATAAAGAATGTTCCTTATATTTTGATCTGAGGCCCCAATGATCACCCCCAAGTACAATACCTGGGTAATAACAGAAATGCTGAATCCAGTTTTCTTTATCCAGTGCATCAGCTGCTTCCCCATGTGAGCTGTTACAAACCTGCTATGAGATACTACAGTATCCACAGTTAGAGACAACGAGAAGTCACTGCCTTATGTACAAGTATGAAACAGCTGTTTTAAATGCATGTAGCGCAGCAGTAGAATAACACTTGGTTACCCCAGAGATTAGCTGTTACAGGACATGTACATTTATAGTATTGCAGATGTTTTTGCGGGGTTGCATATAAAAGCATGTGAGGTAACAATAAATATCAGAAAAAAAATGTAATTGTCCTTGTTAGTATGAAGGCCTGCTCTTTATTATGATTTTGAATTTCTAAGATATCTCCTTTTTAATTAGGGTCCAGAACAGTGTATGCCAACCCAGACGTTGCGTAAACCACAGGTGTGCACACACCAATGACAGGACTCTAGCGCTATGAGTTGGCAACAACAGACCTAGATTGGACTTTAATTAGCCTTAAAATTAGGACAATCATAGATTGGAGATGATCAATGCGGACGGGCTAATCTGAGACAAAGTGGCAAAATGCATGTTCCTAAAACGTCCCTCTCCATCTTCGTTATCACACAATAAAATGACTAAGCAAGACCAGCTTCCACAGGGTGCTACACTGTCACAGGTGACCCTGACATACCAGGTAAGGCATAGCCCAACTTTACTGGACAGCAGGCTTTTCTTTTGGCAGCCAATTAGATTTGAAAGGTAATTTGGAGTAGACGAATGAAAACTGCAAAAAATTAGTACATAGTAAATTTTACAGTTTCATCATATCTGCCATTACAGCTCCGGTTTCGATGTTAGTACAGTCGTGTTGTTGCCCCATTTGAACACAACTACATTAAACAAAGCCTCAAAGTCAGAGCTACATTCTAAAGTGTAATTGGAATTGAAAAATGACAGACTTCATTGGCAATTCGTAATATAAGCAATAATGATATTTAAACAAACGTTAACATTAGATATAAAACATTGACAATCAATATCTCTATGCAGATCCCACCTTGTATCATAGTAACTTGCTGTTTGTGAACATAATACACTTTAGAAAAAAAATACTACCTACGTCTAACCTTGCAGTTACTTCTAAGCCTTTGAAAAAAAAATTGAAATCTGTAACCGAACATACATATAATCACACCCTAAACAAAGGAGGTTTAATAAGATTTAAGGTTGGATATCTCAGCCCTGGGGCATGTAGTAGCCTTTATTACAGCACAGAGATCAAAGCTATGTGAACTCCCCTGCTGATGTTAAACAGTAAAGCGTTATTTATTGTGAGGGGAGGGAGGATGTGACACATTTCAGTTGTTAGGATACAGCAAGACAGACCCACCCAAGGTATGACAGTTAAAAACAAACGCTTGGCACGCATTCATTGTATCTTGGAAACTTTCCAATCACAGCATGAAACAGGGCTTCTCAACATATGCATAAAATACAAGTTGTGATCATCACCTTTGGTGTCTGCCTTTGTATGACGATCATAAATAATTTATTGTATGAAATCAAGTGACTAATGCGTTAAAATGCTAGAATCACTTAATTTTGAGTTCATGGAGTCATTTGAGTCCTGAAGGAATTTCATTTTCACTGAAAAATCAGATAAAAGAACGGACCATCAAACCCATCCACTTTATCCAGTTCACGGTTGCAGGGGAGCTGGAGCCTAACCAGGGCAGGGCACACCCTGGATAGTCCATTGCACGCTGCACACACACATTAGGACCCAATTTTCCCAGAAGCCAATTAGTATACTGTAGCTGTATGTCATTGGACTGTGGGAGGAAACCCACGTGAACACGGGGAAAACATACAAACTCCATGCAGACAGCACCCCAGGAACTGAAGCCAGGGCCCCAGCGCTGTGAAGCAGCAGGGCTAGCCACTGCGCCACAGTGCCACCCGTACTATCGTCTACGCTGTTGTGTGCGGGGGCAGCAGCATCATGACAAAAGATGCAAATAGACCCAATAAACTCATCAAGAAGGCTGGCACTGTGTTGGGGATGAGCCTTGACCCCCTGGAGGTGGTGGCTGAGAGGAGAATACTGACCAAGCTCACAGCCATCATGAACAACACCTCTCATCCGCTTCTTGGGACTGTTACTGGGCAGCAGAGCACTTTTAGCAACAGACTGCTCCAGCTACGGTGTTCCAAGGGAACGTTTCCGCAGGTCTGTCCTCCCGGCGGCTGTCAGGGTGTATAACGCTGCCCTAGGCTAGGACTGTTAGCCCTTC